GATTCGTTCTGAGATAACTACGCTAAATATGCGGATTAGATTTGGAAGAATGTTTGCAGTATGCAAGTGCACAGTATCAAAGAAGACCTTGTCTACCCTATTTGGGCAAGTAAATACGCATGCAGTTCCTGAGATTTTATGAGAATGTGTGGAGGAAAAAACGTTACTTGCAATATGGTTTCACAAAATTGCAAAAATATATTTGCAATAGAAGTAAACAGAGTCTCATTTCAAAATCAAAACTTGACCACTTACATCATTTCCTTAAAATCGCCCGACTAAAAGTTGATTCAAAACGACCTACGCAGGAAAATTTGTCACGATAAGCTGACTTAAAACGATTCTAAGTCTATCGGCAATGCTCTTTTGCATTAATTTTTTCTATATCTAACATAAGTAAAATGTTGATAGAACAAAGAAGCAGCCTTTTGCTTAAAGGTAAAAACTTGAACTGTCGAAGAAACCAAAGATATAAAAGATATCTTTGATTAAAAAGTATCATTACATTTTGTCTAGGGCTTCTATAAGCAGTACAATGTTTGTTATCCTTCTTGTAAAGGGTTCCCTTCGTACGGTCGGTTCATCCTGATCGGGTTGTCAATTTCAAGGATTTTTTTGGATCAGCAAAATGATGGGAGAAATGTTAAAATACCTGAAACTTGTTACAAATCTTCGAGCGAGGTCGAGCACTTAAAAGAAATATTTGTACTTCCTGAACTGCTTGAAATACTGATCAAAAGTTTAACTTGTATTAAAATATTCTGAGTTACATTAAATTGTGTCACGACAAGGAAACTCCCACCGTCGCTTCAAAATCGATGGAATTTTTATTCCTGGCTTGTTTGAATATTAGTACACTCGGTCACACGGTATAAGCAGCGGAGCATTGCCAGTTCAGAGTTCACGCCTCACGCCAAAACGCCTTCAATTTTGCAGATACCACACGGACATCCATCGAGTACGAATATTTGTATCTCTGCGCCGTCGTCAACGCGTGCATTTCCTTGCTCTCTATTTACATGTTGTGTTGGTTCCGTTCGTCTTAATTTTATAGTGGTGCATCAAAGGCTACGTGAACGACACAGCTGAAGAAAAGAGAGACGTAATCGGGTCTCGTTTTTAAAATTTTCTTCCGAATGTGAGCGACACCTCATTTACAGCATGTGCACAGCGGAGCTTTGAGAGCTCACGCCTCACGCCAGTTTTGCAAATGAAGCAAGGACATACATCAGGCACGATTAGTTCTATCTCTGCGTCGTCATCAACGCGAGGTGAGGCGTCTATTACTTTAGAAACTTGAGAAAAAATAAGGTTAAGTTTGGTGAAAATATGTCATGATGTGTCCGAATCAATACCAATTTTGATGGAAAGAAAAAAAATGTTTAGAAATCCCTCTAAAAATTTGTACTCTGGAGAGAGTTGTATTGTGTCAGGGAATTTTCGGTTTTTTTGACGATTACCGACCACCTTTAGAGATTTCAAGCCGGATCAAATTGACTCAACTATCTCCTCTGGGGGAGTTAAAAATGGAGGATGAGATGGGGGGGGGGGGGGTAGCGAGAGAGCGCCAGTTTTTTACCAACGGAAAATAAATTTTAAAGAAAAAAGAGTTTTTACCTTTAAAACATAAAATTATCATAGATAATAGTTCAAAAACTATCAGGACCAATGTATTTAAATATGAGTCAATTCGACCCGACTTAGGACTTCGCGTAAAAAAAGACTTGGGCATCTAAGGGTAAATCTCAAAAGTACCACACGAAAATTTCCATTATAGTTTTCTAGATAAATGTCTAAGAACATTTTACTTCGCGACTGTGACGATTTTACCTGACGGTTGATTTCTGATTCAGTACCATTCTGAATGGAGTTTTCCGGGCACTGAAGCAGTTTCTCTGCACCGCATGTAAGGTTCAATATGAAAGAGTTTCAGCAAAACCAAAAAAATAATCTCATCAGAAGCGCCTCTATAAATACGGCTCATTTAAAAGCCTCTAACTTCACATAGCTTAAACTAATCGCAGATTGCATTAATCTTCAGCGTTTTTCCGCAGCAGCAACATAGCTTTTCGAGAGATGCACTTTAGTTAAAAATTGCGTTTGGTCCCTCTATGATAAGCTGGAAAGATATTACGAGCTAAAAATTTCAGGATTTTTAGCACATGAAAGAGTAAATTAACTACAAAGAATGAGAGAGTCTAAAAAAGGAGAATAATACAAATATCCGTCCTGTCCACTGTTTTTCATTCGCCATTTTAGGCCAAGGAAGGAGGGATTGCCAAATTTCCTCTATTTATTGGGTTAAAATCAAGTTTTTACTTTTCAACCTATTTGTTGTTTTCAGACTGGAGGACAAATGGCGGAATTAAAGCCATGATTGAGAAAAGGCATTCCTTTTTCAGCGTCTCTTACAGTTGGATTGCATTTTGCAAAAAGGAACCACTAGCATTGCAATGATGCTAAGATTGTGCAACTTCATCTTTTGCAATAAAATTGCGGAAATCGTGAAAACTTTAAAATTTAGATGGTAATTTTTGTCTTAAATTTACAGTTTTTAGCGAGTAAAATAGAAACTATTGATGGATAAGCGGGTTTTTCCTCCAAGACAAAAGAAGTTGCACAATCTTAGCAACATTGCAATGCTAGTGGTTCCTTTTTGCAAAATGCAATCCAGATGATGTTCTGTTTCTTCATGGCTGCGATGAAACGTATCTCCGCGCCGACAAGGCGGAGTTATCGATATTTCCAGCAATCAATAGCCATCAGCTATCGATATTTCCCCATTCGAAGCCATGGTGAACAGTACAGGACAGATATTTGCATTCTTCTCCTTTTTTAAAGTCTCTCATTCTTTGTACTTACAATTTACGTCGCTCGTAATATTTTTCAAGCTTATTATAGAGAGACCAAAAGTCATTTTTAACTGAAATATAATGACACCTTGATAATCGATCCTTTTCGATAGGTTAAATGGGGGATCAATCGATGCATCGCAAAGCGCGACACGCCTCTGCTTTTCTGGTCTGGGAGGAGAGCGGCGCTCGATAGAGCATCTCTTATCAAGACGAATGACACGGCAGAACGCGGCCCGTAGACCGACGGCGGGAAATCGTTCAAATAACAGATCAATAAAACCTGCTGAAATTTTCACTTCCTTAACGCCCCCGCCCACCGCCCGCCGCCTCCCTCAGATTGTTTTTTCGGCATCTTCTTTTGTTTTCCGCCCCCGCATCAATCTTCCCCGAGAGCCAACTTTCCTCCCTGAGAGGGAAAAGTTATGCTTTGACGGAATTGGAAACGTGCTCTCCTGAGTTACGCTTATTATGATGATTTTTTCACCTCTTCCACTATTCACGGAGAAAAAAACCTCGTGCGTGGGACCCGAAGTTTAGGTCATATGGATCTCTGAAGTTTTCGGATTGAGCATCTAAACACTTTAGGTCTGTCAACGACTCTCCGCCTGTCCCGTCTCACGCCCAGCCATTGGTCAATGACGTCACACCTAAGCTGAACGGTGATTGGGGGAGGCGATGAGCCGGATGACGCCGCGAGTATTGTGGAGTTCTTCTCACTTTTTAGGCCATCTTTTTGAAACGTTTTATCTCGAAAGGATGCTGTCACGGCATCTAGTCTTTTTATCCATTTCCATCGGCCACATTTGTATTTTCTATATTCAGAATATATCACCTTCGTTTCTCGCATCTCCAGTTGTGCTTTTTTTGAACGCCCAGTTTTCCTTATTTTGCACGCCGCTCTCCCGAATGATCGCTTAGCGCGACGCCCACATTGACAAGGTCTAGCTGTCGAGGTTCGGATTACACATCTGAAACTTCAGTTCTTACATCTGAAGTACTTCAGATGTGAGAACCGAAGTTTTTCGGATGTGGGAACCGAAGTTTTTCGGATGTGAAAACCGAAGTACTTCAGATGTAAGAACTGAAGTTTCAGATGTGTGATCCAAACCTCGGCAGCTGGACCTAAAGTGTTCAGATGCTCAATCCGAAAACTTCAGAGATCCATATGACCTAAACTTCGGGTCCCACGCACGAAATTTTTTTCTCCGTGTTCGTAGCCGCTGAAGGGTGTTTATTGGTACTAAGATAGTATATAGGAAAACGAACCACTTTATTCCCCTCTTATGGTGACAAAAATTTAGGGGGAAAAGCCTCGACCGAAATTTATTTGTACCCTCCAACCTCGGTTTGGAAAGAATTTGTACCAAATTTCTTATTGCAGATTCCATCGTGAATGAAAAATCTACTGTTTAATAACTTTCTTGACCAGTTTGTTGGCAGGATTTATAGCAAAATACTTAATCTTTTTGAAAAAGGTTACAGATGTCCTTCATTTGAAGAGATCGATGAGATGAGCTCTTTAAAATTGGAATAGTTGTAATCGGCAAATGGTCACAAGGGGTACAGTAAATTGAGCAAATGTATTAAGGGTCGAATCTAGAGAGCAGCTTGTCAAAAATATTAAAAGTCTGATATTCCTTTGTTATTGCTGCGGTCCTAATTGCGTCGAGGGTCTTAGGGCTTTGAACAACTAGGTCAAAGTTTTCTAAAATAAAGAAGTCAGAAAACCAGACTTAAATAATCATGTTGAAACAATGTTAAACAAACAGTCCAAAAAAAAAAAAAAATAGTATGGCGATTGAACTTGTGTAAGAGAAAGATTGATAACGGCTTACACGATACTGCTTTTCAGGGTAAGTTTTCTTACAATCCTCCCTCGGTAAATCTGGTAGCTGCAAACTGATCGTGAGAAAACAAAGAGACGCAGGCCCGGTGAGTTTGAAAAATTACGTTACGAATTACGCAAATTTTGCGTTCAGGAGTGAGTTTTTGCCAAACTTGATGTGTTCAACGTGACTTTCGTGGGATTGAACCATTGTAGCGTTTGCTTGATCGGCTGTATATCTTGTGTGCAAGAACGACCCATTGGTCACAATGAATGGTAATGTGTAAGTGAATGAGTATGAGTAAAGAAGTTTTTCTTACCTGGCAATGGCGGCAGTCGAAATTGACAGAATACGTATGCTGGCAGTCGTAGCGGCGGAGGATCTCGTTGTAGCGGCAGACGAGGTCGGACGCCAGGCGATCGAGCTCCAAGAGGTGCTGGAGGTGGCGGATACAGCGGGCGCGGTCGGCCAGTACGGCGGCGGAGAGGCCGCCAAGAACGGAGTGCTCGCAGCAGTACGGGAGCCGGAGGCGGGCGGCGGCCTCCTCGCCAGCAGTGCAGGCCGCCTCCAACGCCGCCGGGTGGACGTATCCAAGGCACTGGGGTCGCGATCCGTTGCCCGAGGGGGCGGACTGGCCTGTGCAGGCCGGCGGGCAGCCGGGCGGGCCGGGCCCCTCAGAGATGGTGGCGCGTGTCGGGGGGCACTGCCCGGGCGGAGGCTCGCGCGCCTCTAGGTCGCAGCGCCGCAGCGGCGACAGGTTGAGGCTCGGGGACGGAGGCGGGGGCGGGGTCGTCAGGGAAGGGGGCAGCGTCGTCGGGGGGTNGGGGTGGGGTGGTGCAGGGGCGCGCTGGAGGGGCCGGCCGGAGAAGGGGAGGGCGACGTGAGCATTGATGTCATGATGTGGAGTAGAAGCAGCCATGCCGGGGCCCAGGGCCGGTCGCCAAAGGGCATTGTCCGATCACGCGATTAGGGTCCCAGCTTCCCTGGCACGAGCGGCGCATCGCTGCTGGTCCCTGCAACAAACAAAACAAAACCAGTTAGCCAGTTATCATATCAATTTTTTGCACATTAATGCCCTCTCCACAGCGCTCTCTGGCGCTCTGCGACATCCAACCGACGCAAATCCATATTCCTCCAAAGTCTCTCTGAGATCTGGCTTATTCGCTCAATTCTTCCTCCACCCAGTTTTGCCGCCCTTTTACTGGGCACCTGTTCGTCTCCTCCCCTGCAGAATGTAGCGCTTCGGACCATCACGTGTTGATCGGAGCGGGATAGCTCAGTTCTAACCTCTACCTCACTTACCTGTCTATTTGCGAGCGTGGATGTTGATAGGGGAGGCCCGACCCCTCAGAGGACTAGCAAACTTCCCTCCCCCATCGTGCCAATAGGCTGATAAGGGGGTAGGGATTTGGACTGCATTATCCCCTTCTGGTCTATGCGTGATGGTCCCAAGAATCAAAGAGGGTAGAACTTTGGCGCTAAAATGGACGAGTTTAAACTTCAAAAGTATTATACTTTTGTTCTTTGAATTTTTTAATGTCATAGTGTTGAAGAAAGGGTCAAAAGCCAGTCTCCACTGAGAACAGGTTACTTAGGCGAATTGGTTTACATTTTTGATGCATCAAGCACCAAAGTGCTCTGATAAGATTTACGATACGATTTAATAAGTAATGTATGCTTCAAATTGCAAATCTGCTGGCTATACCGCACATTATGTATGGACAGAGGACGCTAACGCAATTTAATTAACCTATACTCAAGGGACGTCTAGTAACTCTTACTTCCAGCCTCATTGTCATTTCCATCCAAATCATCAACATTTCAAAATCAAGAGATATTTCGCTCGAGATGCACCCTCAGGTCTGCTTAAACGCCAACCTAATCCATGCTTTTGTGTCTGCATACGACGCGCGTTCATTTGTCTCGCGCTCCGCGTCTCCCGCCGAGAATGAGCTCGGCTCCCGCCGTCCTCATTTGCATTCAAAATACTCGCGTTTACCTGCATTCGTAAACAGCTCAGCTCGGATAAAGGGCCGTAAAATACTGGGCGATATTTTGAAGATGAGTCCGTCGCGATAACGAGAATTCAATTACATGATGACTAAAAATAAACTGCCGGTAGGTGCGTAAGTGTTAATGGATCGGCTGCAAACTTTCGCCACGGGGAAGAGAAGAGTTTCCTCGCGAGGGAAGTGACTGAAAAATTACGATGAGCACGACTGAAAGTTTGGAATTTTACTCCTAGCTTCACAATGTGCGTGAGAAATTTACGTACTATGATCTCCTTGCTTCAGAAAGTATGTTTTACGGATGAGGAATTATATGACACACATAAATCACCTGTTTTTTTTTTACGTCTGATCACCGTACTGCCTTGCTAAGGAAAAACGCCGTATGGATCTTCAGGCGTTGCCAAATATCCTCTGATAAAACACGAATTTCCTGGTGAACATAAGAATATTTTTCTTCCAATTTGTAAAATAATTTCGTTCGCAATTCCACCTAAAGATTCTGACTGAAAATTTAAAGGAAGAATATTCAAAACTTTCCTCGAAAATAAACATTTTATCGAAGGAAAGGCAACTCTCGAATGTTCATACGGCGTTCTTCCTTAGCACGGCAGCGTAGCATACTGAAACATTCTGCCGTGCTGAGGAAAAAAGCCGTATGCATATGCGATTGTTGCCAAATTTCCTCTCAGAAAATATCCATTTTCGAAGAAAGTTATGAATATTTTCCCTTGCAATTTTCAGACTTTTTAGATCGAATTTCGAATAAAATTCTCCAAAAAAATCGGATGAGAAATATTCAAAAATTTTCCAGAAGATTCGTTGTTTTTGAAAGGAAATCTGGCAACGTCTGATGGCTCATACGGCGTTCTTCCGTAGCACGACAGCACGGTTACGAGAGCTGAGTCAGCTCCGGATAAATGAGATCGAATTTGCACTTATCATTTGAGCACTTATCATTGTTCTCAAAAATATAGACAGTAATGGTAAGTATTATTGACGTTTGGCCTTGCCAACTTGACGCTGAACTGAATTCGATCTCGCTTCAGTGCAACCGACTCCGACGAAAAGAAAAGGGGGAAAGAGACTGATTTTCAACATCCGCGGGTATATGTTTAGCGGTCGCCTACCTACCAGCCTACCCTCATCACTCAAAACAACAATGTTAACGTCAATTTTTCGCAGCCCATTTAATGCACATTCTACGTTGCCGAATTCTTGAATTAAGGGAAACAGAAGACGAGGATCATCTCCGTCCTTTTTCATGAGAATAAACGAAGAACTTTGAACGAACGAACTTCTTAAAAGACAGCTAGAAGTAGTTGAAGGAAGCATAGATCTTCGAGGCAAAACCTTCACTACTTAAACTTCAAACTTGAATTTTGTTGTGAAGAATAAATATATAATTTATAAAGTATATTTGTTAAAGCTCCATATGCGCATATGGAACATGTTGGGGTTTTCGGGAACCCAGTTAAACAATATGGTCACATTCGCAAAAATGTGGACTATAAAACGTTTTGTTTCCTCAAGTCCACCATTTTTGCTCGAAGTATTTTCACTTTTAATCATGCATTTTGTAGGACTTCTTGTATAAAGTTACTCCAAACCCAGTTTACCAAAAGTTTTCCATCAGATAGCTATGCTCTTCTTAAGAAAACCTAATTTGGATGCAGGGTTTCTCAACGCTGTCAAATTTTTCCTCAAATTTGAACCTCCTTTTATTTTTTTCTCTTTTGTTTCAATTTCCTCTCACGGGTCATATTTTGGGTCCTCGTAAATCGAATGGTAAAACTTTAATTGGGTAAACGACTGATTCATCGATAGCTCATGAACACTAGAGTCACACCGCTGAAAATTTTCGTCGAGCAGCATAACATCAAACAAAAATTATAGGATATAAGTTGGAAGGCCTAAAAATGAGGAAATTCCTAACAATTTCACTCTTTAAAGCCATTTTGTACTCATAAGTATCAACAATTCATCACAAAAACCCCGTTACTTCAGATTACTCTTTTGACTTTTAAGGCTATGTTTACATGTTGAACCAATCAATATTGATACAGTCTCACCTGTGGGCTGATTGATGAACTTGATAAACAAATCTATAGACAAATAAGACATAGGGAGTATGGAGCAATCCTATTGGTTGAAATGGGTGGTTCCTATGGACTAAGGGAGAAAATGGTGGATTTCCTTTAGGATCTCTCGTGGGTTGCTATTTGTTAGTCTATTACTTACCTCCTTTGTCCAAGGCAACCACTCACTACCACCAATAGGATCCCTCCATATCCCTTTGGTCTTCTTTGTCCATAGCTTTGTCTATCAATTTCAACGATCAGCCGACTTTTGAGACTGTGTGTACATGTTGAACCAATTAATATCGATACAATGTCACCTGTGGTCTGATTGATGAACTTGATAAACAAAGCTATAGACAAATAAGACATAGGGGGTATGGAGCAATCTTATTGGTTGAAATGGTTGGTTCATATAGACTAAGGGAGAAAATAGTGGACCAACTCTAGGGTCTCTCGTGGGTACAACCACTCACTACCACCAATAGGATCCCTCCATATACCTTTTGTCCTCTTTGTCCATAGCTTTTTCTATCAACTTCAACAATCAGCCCGCTGTTTGGTGTATCGAATACGGTCCATTTGAGTAAATCTCCCGAGGGCGCTTGCATAAAGGAGATATTGCGCGGTGAATATGGCAAGGCGATCTGCTGTGTTCTCAAGGGTTTGAGCGCTGGTGAAGAGCCCGATCGAGCTCTAATGCGAGCTGAAAGGCTTCACTTCACTCATTTTTCTCTTCCCGGCCCCGATTCTTGAGAGGCCCATGCTCCAAAGCTCCTTGTCTTCTCGCCACACAAACCGAGATCGGAGATTGTTGCCGCTAGCTGAGGCGGCTAACGACATCTAATCTAACTCCCGTGGTCGCCGCGCCACGTTACAGGCCAAAGATCGCGAATAACGAACTCGAGGCATCCTCTGAGCGCGCGGGAAAAACCGTCATCACCAATTATTCACACTATCTGAATGTGTTGGGAAAGCTTTGACGCGGACCGTCGCTGGAGGTAGTGACCGACAAAGATCGGAGACCACCTATTTGGATGTCCTGGTATAGACGCTATTAGTGGCGCGTCATCATAGGGATTCTCCATAGTATCGAATTGGATCCAAACAATAACATTGGCATGACCTCTTTCAATGCTACTAATGCGAAAATATTGATATATATCGCGTTTCTGTGACGTGGCACTAAAAACGTCTATAGGAACGGATTGACCTCATCTCTTCAGACCAACATCAGATTCTTACCACACAAATTCATCCTAACCATAAAGTCTGGGCTATCTCTTCTATGATCCAGGTATTCTCCCTCCAAAAAGAACATATTTGTACAATTCGAGCTATTTTGATCTCATAGTCCCCCTTGAGGAAATTTTACTAATTATAATGCTAACATTCGCTCCTTGAAACATTTTTGACTGAGCTTTTAGCAAAACGAATGTAAAATAATGGTGCCTACGTAAACATTAGACAGGCTCATAGAATAAAGTCAATTGAATTTTTGTACTTAAAAAAACGGACTAACTTTCACCGTTGAAACTTACATGATAGATTGAATGCATCAGATAGGTTTATCTATGAAGACGAATATGAGGTATCTATAATTTTGTCGGAGGAGAGGGAAATACGTGGACTAACGAGAGAAATATCGCTACAAAATAAGAAAGGCCGTGGAACCCATTGTAAGGTAATTTGCGAAAAAAGGATTATATGGAACAAGGAACGAATTAAAGATCTGAAGATTGAAATATACATGATATAGTGTGTCACGAGACCTAATTTCCATCAAGAGAGCTCTACTACAAATTATAAGATAGTACAAGCGCGTATAGCAA